ATTCGGATATACCGAATACTAAGGAGGAGGATATTAACTACTTAGTAGAGGTAGAAATTGTTAACTACTCGGTAGAGGCGGGTATTGTTAGCTCGGTAGAGGTAGGAATTGTTAGCTCGGTAGAGGCGGGTATTATTAGCTCGGTAGAGGCGGGTATTATTAGCTCGGTAGAGGCGGGTATTATTAGCTCGGTAGAGGCGGGTATTATTAGCTCGGTAGAGGCGGATATTATTAGCTCGGTAGAGGCGGATATTATTGGCTCGGTAGAGGCGGGTATTGTTAGCTCGGTAGAGGCGGATATTATTAAGTACTCGGTAGAGGCGGGAATTATTAAGTACTCGGTAGGGACGAGAGTTAAGTAGACTAGGGTTAGGGCTAGGGTTATAAAGAAGAGAATGTCGTCTATATAAGATACTATAGAATCGGAGGATTCGTAGGAGTAGTTATCGTTTAAAACGAATATCCCTTATTCTCCTTAGTAGTTGACTCCTTTGCTTTTCCTTTACCCTTTACCCTCTTTCTTAGTTTTCTCGCCTATAACGTAGAGTAGTTTTTGTCTATAAGCTCTGCTAACAATAGGTCTCGGCGGTTACTCGAAATTGGCTTTTCTCGTCGAGATCGAACAAGTTAGTATAATTGTTTGCGTTTTTGCCTTTGTTCTTAGCGGGAAGGAAGTAGCTCGATTTCTCTAATATCCTCGTTTTTAACGAGAACCCGACGGTCGTATTTCTAGCGTTCTCTAACGGTTATAAGAGAAACCGTCTTATTCTCTGCTATATAGGCTCGAATATAGTATAAGTAAGGAAGTTCCGTTATAAACGAGAAGACATCTGTACAAGGTAGGACAGGTCGTGTTTTATCCGTTGCTAACGTATACTAGGCTAGAACCTCCTAGATTGCGTAACGGTATACTTTTCGGTAGAAGGACTGAAAAGTACGAGGTATTTGGATTAAAGTATAGCTCGTTTCTTCCGAAAGCTCTTACTAATACTTAGATACCTATATTCGAAAATATAGTAGAAGCCGTTCGACGAGACCGTAAGTATTAGACTATAACGTCCTAAGCTAACTTTTTATTGTAGTATATATACCTTCGATCCGGGAGGTTGCTCGGACACCCTATATACGTATTTGTTTCAAACGAAAAGTCGCCTATAGTAAGGTAAATAGAAGCTATTCTTTCTCGAGGTATATAAAGCCCTTAGGCTATATCGCCTTTAACTTAAGGCAAATCGTACGGAATTCTACCTCCTCCGGAGTATAGACTGCTTTTTAGAATAAGTTATACTATTTTACCGTCTTTTCGTTATTAACGTATTCCCTACTCTCTTCCTCGGGCTCTTGCTTAAATATTAAACGGGTATATACAAGGACATCCTTAAGAAGATGCTACTTACAAATACGTCGGGGTACCTCGGGAAAGACTACCTCTATAGCATTTAAGTATACTCGATCCCTATTAGTAACTAAAAGGTTTAGCATTAGGATCTCTTCCTAAACGAGAATATCTTTAATTTGCTTAAACACCTAGGTATATAACTTCTCGTCCTGCCCGGCTAGAAGACAAAGGTTAAAGGGTATAGTCTTATTCCCTCCGGTAATACCGCAGAAGTCGAAGACTAGTCATCGTAAACGATAAATCTTGTAGGTATTATCGCAAAGGATAATCTCTAGGCAACGGGCCTAGATCTCTAGGTATTCGGGGTAAACGAAAAGTAGTTACTTAAGGAAACTATTCGAGTTTACCGAGTATCGGAAGGCGAATCCTTCTAATTAGAGTAGCTCGAGTGTAGCATTAGTAATTGTCTTTCTAGAGAGTAGAAGATAACGATAGCGTTAACGGATATTACTAATATCTTTTCGTTTTTAATAAATTTCCGGAAATTGGTCGCGGAGAAAAGATTGTAAGGCAGCTACCCGAAGTCTAGAGTGTATATATCGTATAATCTCGTTTATAACGTCGTCGCTATACTCGTATCGCCGGTAGTTCGTAGGTAATCTAATAGTTCTAGGGATTGTTCTAAAGGGTAGATAATTATATATTATTGCATTCGAATTTCGTCTATACCGAATTGTCTATACTCTATCTTTGTCTTCTTTATCTACGGCTGTATACTAAAGTTGTATAAGACATTAGTGTTTATACAAGCTAGATTTTCGTCGACGAGAAGAAGTATCTAGTTTTCGATAGTTCCGAGTTTTTCTACCGTATATATATCGTACTCTTTTCTAGGTACCTCGATTCTTTGTATTAGAGATAACAAGGTCAAAACTATATTTACGAGTCTACTTTTTAACGAACTCCTTTAGCAATTTGATAGAATCAAAGGTTTGCTTAGGTAGAGGAGGTATCTTAAATTCCTCGTTAGAACCGAGATCCTCCTCCTCCTCCTCCTCCTCCTCCTCCTCCTCCTCCTCCTACTCTTCCTTCTCTCCGTTAGAGTTCT